TTACGAAAGCTCTGATTGGTTCATAACTAGTTGGCCCAGCGATTCTCTCTTTAGTTTTAAAAGATCTAGACAATTGGTGACCATAAAAGGCAATTTAGATTAACGCTCTGATGATTTTGCAACTATATTGACTGATACGCTGTAATTAGACACTTAAACTTAGATATAGTCTTCCAGACTTAGACTCTAAGAGTTTCTCCTTTGTCGTTAGTTCTTTCATCAGGCGATATAGGTGTAATGTCTTGTATATTTCTCGTCCTTTTTCCTTTTTTATCAGGCGATATAGGCACCCTATTCACACGATCTAAATGGCTAATACCCAGCTAAACTAAATTTAGATCAATGGGTCGAAGCCGTCTAAAAATGATCATCTAAGTCATCTGAGCAACTAATTACATATTCATATACAATTCGACCAATCAAATCTCCGCGTTGTCTGTGGACTAGAAGAGACAAAGTCCAGGTTTGATACAGTATGCATGAAGGCATAGAACCTGCAGCTTCTGATGGAATACATTTCCTTTCATACTCAAAAAATAATTATATACCGACAGACTATAGAGAATTCATTGACATGAAGAATCATACATTGCTTGGCAATGCCATATATTTATGATAATTTGGTATTCCGTTATTTTACATCTGTGAAAAAATGAACGGCCTAATCCTTGATATTAATTATTAAGTTACAGCTTCTTACCTTTCACCATGCTTTATGTTATGAAATCCTTTATGAAAATCGTGTCGGCATACTCGGCCGAAGACACCTTTCTCATCAAAGAGCTTGTTTTTCCCCTTGGATCTCAAAGCAGTTAGAACCTMTCCGGCATGGAATTTACTACAGTTCTGTAAAAAATAAGGAATAAAAAACAGTCATATATAAATGCCCTTTCAATGGAGTGACGTTGGAGTGTGCATAATAAAAAGYCATTAAACATGTCAATTTTAACAGCAAAGAGATGTAATTTTTTCTCTGAATGTAACAGAAAGAGTGGAAAATTTGTCTGGCTTAGTGGGCTACAACAAAAAAATACATGGCCATGCATGAATAATCTGAAGTAGATCGGAGAGGTTTTTACCTGTTCCATGTCTGCCCAGCTTTACCATAGCTGTTGACAAAGTTATCAACATCATCCTGATCTGCAAATAGTAGTGTTCCATGTTTTGGTGTTCCTAAATGATGTCCCTTCTCCTTTTTCCTGCAAAGTCCAAAACACCCATCCATGCTTTCAATGAGAACACTCCCATCCTGTTGAAAAAACGAAGAAGAGTAAAAAAAAAGGAATCTAACAGTATATATTCATTTGAAGAAATAGAAAAATTGTGCATGCRAGTGCTTGCCCAGGGATGGTAAATATGGGTGGCTGGGGGAAGTTCTTTCATTGGTTAGTTCATTGCTAGGCTTATTATGGCCATGGTCACGTGGCTATCAGTCTCCCTCGCATCCGTTTTTWGTGTCGGTCGTCACGCAATGCTCCCTCCGTACAGCTGCAATGCATATGCCCCTCCCCACTCACTTTGAAAAAGGCTATWCTGCCRTAATGCTATCYTGAATAAGACATATAGGTATGCACTTAATTCCAACTAATAGAATCATGATATTTATGATAGTTATAATACGAAAATAGTTGTACCGTTGGACATAAAGGACACAATGCGCCATTGTAGAGGTCTTTAACATACTTTGTCAAATGCCTGTATTCATACATGAAGTGCCTACATGTGGACAAAAAAACAGTTTAATATTGTTACTTCGATAAAATAGTTCAGCAAGTCAACAAGTGAATGTTAATTGAAAGAAAATATCAGTTTAATGTAGAGTAGAACTTTCATTTCAAGCCTTTACTTTTTGGACATACGTATTAATGGAAGGCAATATTTTGCATGGCAAGTTTGATTACTCTAAACATTTTATATACACATACCTGAATTCTTCAAAGCAATCTGAATTCAGTATATTATAAATTGAATTCACCTAAAATACATATAAGTTAAACCATAATTAAAAAACAAAATAAACTATCACCATTTATTATTGACCCAAGATTTTATAAAATACTTTGACACAAAGGGTGGTACCATATAAAACCTACATGTGTTGGTTGCAGTTGAGGATTCAGTTCTGAAATGACTTCTGAGAAGTTTAATAGGGACACTTGACAATGAAGGAAGACCTTCTCAGCAAGTTCCATTAGTTTGAAGCTAAATCCTGTAGTGGGATTGGCTGGTGATCCTGGCCAAAACTGACATTTCAACAGTGATATCGTCTGCTTGTGGCTCACAGTCACAAACTTCAACATACTTTAGGTGATGATTTCCTGAAATGCATAGTATTTACAGAAATTAATAGGTGTCCCAATAATAAATAAATATATTTTATAGATTACCTGAGGCATCCAAGAGTCTAAACAGCTTAGTTGTCATTGTATCGCAGGTATGGCCATAGCCAACAACTGATTCATCCGGATATAGCGGAACAAATACTCCCTCCTGTCAAGAACGAAAAGAAAGTGGCTAATTATAATATCGTTCAACTAACTAAATGAATTSTCAATGGAATCTATCACAAATTTAATTTAAGGACATGCCTTCCATTGCTCAAGTACATGAAATTTGTTTCTGTTGCAGTGTAGTGATTTTGCACATCTCGCACAAAAGAACTGGTGAGGGCCACAGTATTCACATCGTGTCGTAGCGATAGCATCGACGCAGTTTACGCACCGCACATTTTCTGGCAGTTGCTGTTCTTTTATATAAGAACTTAATAAATTCTCTCGTACTTTATCCCAGTTATCAGAAATGCTCAAAATACGTTTTTGATGTTGTGTTTTAAATTCAGATGCCTGGTTATAAAGATCGTCGAGAGGGATGTTTTGCCTTTAATTTGTTCTGCTGTATCCTCGCTGCTTTCTTGATTTCGATTGTCCTTTTGAGACTCCGGCTTTCCAGGATCAACTCTCAGTGGAATAAATACCGTTGTCTTTTTTCCATCGCGCCCAACATTCTTGACTTTCAATGAAACGGGTTTTAATCGACGCATTTTAAGCTTAAATCTTCATAGATTACTGTGTTATTGTTGTTAAATCTAAATGGCGTCCTTAGATATACCAAGATTCACCAGTGAAAAGATTTGATTGGTCGAATTGTATATGAATATGTAATTAGTTGCTCAGATGACTTAGATGATCATTTAAGACGGCTTCGACCCATTGATCTAAATTTAGTTTAGCTGGGTATTAGCCATTTAGATTGTGTGAATAGGGTGCAGATATAGGTGTAATGTCTTGTATATTTCTCGTCCTTTTTCAAGGAGGCAAAGAAGGAAGTGAGAGTATTTCTCTTCTGGTCTTGGGTATTAAGCTTGAGCTCTGTCTTTTCAAAGAGTGACCAATGTTCTTCGAACTTGGGATAGTTTTCGCTGACATGTTTGTCGAAGTTTATTTCTCTGGGCACTGCCCATTGGATATTCAAGGCCATACTTGCTCGTAACTTGTTTGCTACGTTAGAGAAACACTTTATGACACCATGTAACAATATTGTGAGTTCTTTACTAAGCACTCTCGCACTTCATGACCAAAACTCCTTTATTCTAAGTCTGGAAGATTATCTCAGATTACTAAGTATCTAATTACAGTGACAATTGATAAGAGACATTTATTATATGACCGTGAATCTTAGAGCCTGGACACTAGCAAATCGAGCAATCTGATTGGATAGATCGCATCGCGGACTGGTCTAGATTCTCCGGTATTAACCGGTCCGATCGCATATTAATCTTACGGCGAAAACATTTTGTCCTTTTCAATGAATAGTGTTCATATAATAAAACTCTTATCAACCGAGCTTGGTCGGTCTGTACGGGATAATCTTGACCTCGGTCGGGTACAGACCTCAGTCAAGATTATCCCGTACAGACCTCCCGCTCGGTTAATGAGATCTAAATATAACATTGATTTTTAATATTAACTAGTGTAAGGTGGTGATATCCTAAATCAATCCAGTTCTTGTTCTTTTAACCTGAAGATTTAAACTTCGTTATGTGTTAAATACCTTCAGTATTTCGTACATCAACCTAGTTATAGCTCGGGCTCCCTGTGTTGCAGTCTTGGCCATAGGCTAAGTCAGTTAGATGTTCTTGTTGTTTTAGGTCCAAGACGTGTCGATGCTCACCACACTCCTTATGGGTAACCTTCAGTACCATGTACATCAACATAATATCAAGGTGTTTTGGTGTACTTGGAACAGTCTTCTCCCGCCATCCATGCTTGACTCTTGCTGTCAGTTTCGGTTTTGTTGGACTTTGTTCAGTGGGCTTCTACTGGATGAATGCAGAAAACAGGTAAATTTGAAAAACTGYTTTCTAAATAGAGCTTCCCTGAAGCCACTGAAACCTGTTCCTGTGAGTCTTTGTCTGACTGAATGAATTTTTAACTCTATTCTGTAATTTTTGTAGAGTGGAAAAGCTTTTCATCCCTCGGGACAGTCGCGCCATGAAAGACATGGACAAAGCCAAGATAAACTTTCCCATGGAAAGCAGGATAGAAACTGTTATATTTGAACCCAAAGAGCCTGGTCAATATGTGCTGAGCAAAGCTTGTCTCCTTGACGTACTAGCTGTACATCATGAAATCATTAACACTAAACCTTATCAAGAACTATGTCTTTCTCAACCATCCACCAATAACTCGCCTTCTTTCTGTCTCTTCTTGAACCCTTTAGACTTACTGCAGTTCAACCAGTCGCTTTTCTCCAATGCTACACGGAAGTTTGAAGAAGCTTTCAGAAATAAAGGGTTAATGATGCGTAATGGACGTCCATTTTGGTACAACATGAGAATAATGTTTGGTGGACTGGACATTGATGGTGTGTCTGGAGAGATGTCGAAGATTGATGCTCTACAGGTGCTTTATTTTATGAAAGACGGTAAAACAGAACCGGAAGAGGAAAAGATTACAAACTGGGAAAAAAATGTGGTTGAGAACATAGAAAAGTTGGGAGATGCTCTGTCATGTGTGAAGGTATACGTCAATGTGCAAAGAAGCCTAGATGATGCCATACAAGAAAGTGCAACAAGTGACGTTGCGTTTATCGGTATAAATTACATGTTGTTATTCTCGTTCGCTTGTTTTATGCTGGGAAAGTTTAGAAACCCTTTGACAGGACACATGCTACTTGCTACCATCGGTATATGTGCTGTTCTTCTCGGGATTCTCGCGGGATTCGGGTTTTCCATGTTTGTCCAAACACCATTCACAAGTGTAGTTGGAGCTTTACCGTTTTTAGTTGTTGGTATTGGAATCGATGATATGTTTGTTATCATAGATGAACTGGACCGCATTGGACCACAATTAAGTGTGACTGATACAGTTAAAGTTGTTATGGCGAACTCTGGAGCAACTATCACCATGACAACCATGACAGACCTTGTGGCTTTTGCTGTAAGCACGTGGTCTGACCTGCCCGTTATACAATATTTCTGTTTGTATGCTGCCATGGCGATATTCTTTGCATACTTGATGATTATTACGTTCTTTGTTGCCATGATGACGTTTGATGTTCGCAGAGTGAAAGCAGGACGTCGAGACTGCTTTCCAGTCTGTCGTGTTCCTCCTCCAAAAGAAGGTGCGCCAGCGTGGGACGAGCCTCGTACCCAGACCTCTAGCAAGTTATTGAAAGCATGGGCCAAAATACTGATGAGAACTGAGGTTAAGTGCATCGTGGTGCTCATTTCATTGGGGCTTTTTGGAAGTGGTATATTTGGGGCCTTGAAAACCAATGAAGAGTTTGATACCAGATTGTTGGCTAAAGATGGCTCGCCGTACATGCTATTTACAAACGCTCAGGAACGATATTTCCCACTGACGATAGAAGTGAGTATCATACTTGATACAGAAGTCAACTACACCAGCCCAGAAACACAGAACGAAATCATACACTTGTCAAGGATAGCTTCACAGAACTCGTTCTATGAAAAAACAACTTTGTCTTGGATGGAAACACTTGCTGCATTCTCGAAGAAAAGAGGTTTGAGTCTAGAAGGAAAACATTTTATGACAACACTAAGAACATTCCTAAACATCTCATCATTTGCTCATTTCAGAGAAGATCTACGATTATCGGACGATAAACGAACAGTCAGAGCGTCTCGTATTCTTTGCTACATGAAAAAATCCTTGAATTCGATTGGTCAGCGAAATGCCATGGTAACGCTTCGAGAAGACCTGCAAAACGGCTCGCTGCTTCCAGCGTATGCAATCTCCAAGTCGTTTATTTTCTTTGAACAGTATACAAGAATATTAAAAGCAACAATAATTAATTTGGTGATCGCGTCTATTGCTATATTACTGATTACTTACCCTTTCCTGGTAAATTTTAGTGTGACTATCATGGTGTTCTTTGGGTTCGTAGCGTTGGTGTTCGAGCTGTTTGGGCTGATGTACATCTGGAACATATCACTACATGGAGTGTCCATGATTATTCTGGTTATGGCCATTGGATTCGCTGTGGACTATAGTGCGCATATTGCGCATGCGTATGTGATGTCATCCAAGAAAAGCGCCGAGGAGAGAGTGATAGACGCCTTGAGGACTTTAGGTGCAAGTGTGCTGATGGGAGGTAAGATACTCCACAAAAACACCCTTTATTGATAATCGTTTTACATTGATAACCAATCCATGTAATATAGGAGGTGTAAGTTTTTTGTTTGTTTTCAAGCTATTAAGCCTATCATTTGCGTTTCTAATATACTGTTAAGTATCGCGATTAACTTAATAGTCTCTTATATTTTTGAGACGACAATATTTTATGGTATTGTCGTTTCAAAATTAAGGTTTATGATTGGCTAACGCGCGACGAAAAGGAAAGCTTGAGCGCGCGCGTCCAATTTTTATGCTTGTTGTTTGCGCCATAGCGCGTGCTCGTAAGGAGGACGAAAATCGGTCTTTTTTCCCCTTTTTTGTGTGTTAAATTCTTTAGAATCGCAATGCAAAACTTATTGCGATTTTGAGACGACAGTACCACCAAATATTGACGGCGTTGGGAGAAAATATATTCGGTATTGTCGTCTCAAAATCGTAATTAGTTTATACAAACAAGCATGGCAATGGATTATGGAACTCAAGTAGGTACGAGATCAAACATTTCTGCCATCATGTCAACCCAAAATATATTGTCATGCTCATTCATTAACAGAGTTCTTTTGACTTAGGAAAGCATAGATTTATACATAAATTTTTACCGAATTACCTGTGCTAACCCAGTTATTGGAAAGTCCCGTTTACTGGGATACTTGTAGTAGTAGATCACGTGAAAGACGTCAATGTCTATGCATGCTCAACTGCAGTAATTCGTAGTAATTCGTTAAATAGGATTTCTAGCGAGAAAATAGCGAGAATTTCTAAGCGAAGATTTCTATGAATTTTCAAATTATATGGCCAATAGATTATTTTGGTTACAGCCATTCACAATCACACGCTCCCTCTACCGATTTTTTCTCTCGCGACGAAGAAGGTTTTGGTGGACGTCAATCACAAAGCGTTTCCATAACATTGTCGGAAAACACAAAGCTATAAGGACAGAAACAATCGCTAGAGCGGCGCGTGTGATCGAGAATGGCTGCATCTATTCATGCTTTAATTCAGCGATCTTGCTCTTTGTTTTGTTTTTGTTTTGATTTGTAGTGGAATTTTTTTCCCTAGAGAACGTTACGCTGTAATTTGTTTTACGCTAGAAATATCGCTTTCATTTTTATCATCATAGCTTCAGTTAATTTTTTAAAATTTTATTAACTTTTGGTTATGACTTTTATGCACGTGCACTCGCGCTGTTACTGTGCGGATCGAAAAGCCGTGGGCACCTAGAAATGTTCCAGGAATGTTCTGTTGTTTTTTGGCCAATCAGAATTTATTTTCTAACCACAAGTTAAAGGAAAGATGAAAATTGCGCTTCTTAGCCGAAAACTATAGAAAACTATGTTTTCTAAAGTAAAAATTAAAACTTAAATTCAACCATTAAATATTGTTCACGTTTGCCCTTTTCCTGTAGGGACAACTACTTTCATTGGAATGATCATGTTGGCCTTCGCCTCGTCAGAACTCATCAGAATCTTTTTCAAGATGTTTTTGGGTATCGTGTTGCTTGGTCTTCTTCATGGTCTTTGCTTTCTTCCTGTCTACCTCACCATATTCTGCCGCGGTTCTTCATTCAAAACAAGTGACGTTGCAAACAAGATCGAACCTGATTTGGCTGAGTCAACAGAGTCAGCTGGCGTTACCCAGCAACCACGTAAAAACAATAACGTCGTCGCGTCATATGACAACCCAGTGGTAACGACTGAACAGAATACAGCCTAGTTACCAGATTCATGCATCCAGAAATTCCGAGATTGAGAAAAAGGCTGGGTCGAATTGGCATTGCAGTGCATTGTGGGACTGTTTTAGGGGATAAAATAGACGCCATCTTTAAAATATGCTCTCTAATTCAGTCCCAGAATGCACTGCAATGCCAACTCGATCCAGTTCTTATCCTCAGCCGTGAAATGGCCGTAATATAACGTACCCAAGTATGCACTTGCTTCATAATCCATATTTCTGAAAGATAAGCACTTATTGTTCATGGAAACAAAATAATCAAACCTTTTTTATGTCTTTAATTTAGAAAAAAATGCGAATATTTTTCAAATGTTTCAACGTTTGAAAATTTAAAAAAATCGCGAATTTTAGTGGTAGGCGAGCGCTTACTTGCAGATAATGAAGGCAGAGACAAACAATTGCTTGCGAGACTCTAACAAATCACGTTATTTTGAAATAATTTTTCCGCATTCTTTTTTGTGCTTTGGTTGTTTTTTCTGTCTATCGAACATACCAAGTCACCGGGAAGCGAGCCATGTTGACAAATTCAACGTTACCGCGCATATGCAGACTATTATTTGCAGAAAAACAGCCTTTGCATCATTATGCGCATGAGCAGAATATCATTTGTAGGTAGTTGCCAATCAAAACGACGGAAAGAATAATTTGAATGATAACGCTTTTTATTTTGCAAAAAAGTTTTGATTTTAGGAATTTTAAAACTTTTGATTGTCAATTTACGTATTTAAACGTATGAAATAGTTCGAAACCTCGTATGTAAAGAAAATCAAGATGGAATATTTACTAGCGAATAGGATTTTTATGCACCCTCTAACTTCCATTTGTTCATGTTTTTATAATATAATCAATGCGTTATAATAATTATGGCTATATGGTTGCCATTCATTGATATGTGATAGCAGTCACGTGTTTATGGTCAGCGGACATACATCACTTGAACAAGGCCCCCCTTTTATGTTTACCGGCCTTGTTCACGTGATGTACCCTTGGGAGCACAGTTGCCTCGAACATCCAAACCATCAACTGGTAGCTTTTTCCCTCCCAGCCCTCACCTTTGGTGGGCCAGATGTTAACATTTAGAGATTGAAAGTATTGTAATTGATTGATTGAACTTATTGACTTAATAAACCAGTTTTGGATTTTTAACCCATAGTCTTTATCGTTCAATCCTGCCTTAATCAGTGTCTACTTAGCCCAGTAAACCGAGCTCAGGCAAAGCGGCATGACCAGCACTTATTTTTAGTAGGGGAAGTTAGAGGGAGAGCATAAAAAACGTTTGTGTTAATTTATGTAGATAAATTGATAATTTTTATGTAATTGGGTTAAGCCAGCAAAAAGAAACACTGCTCATTACTGTATGGACTACAATATGTAATTCCTCACTGGTAATATTTTTCGATAATGTTTCTATCAGTAATATAATAAACGTATCCAGTGGACCAATTAAGTTGAATCGCTCCTTTTTGTCCCAGGGAGTCTAATTAAAATGTTAGCTTGAAAATAAAAATTTTCAAAAACATATGTTTTTATTTTTCGAGCCTTAAACCTAAACGGAATGTAAGGCAGGAGGGAGAGGGCGTGTCTATTGTTTCCGATCTTGCATTTCAGGACGGGAGAGCCTGCGTAGCAAGCAGTTGGTGTAAAGTATTCATAACAGACTAAATGTATCCCACCTAATACAATAGATAGAACGACACGAGGATACAATAGATTTTCTGAATACATAACATCATCTAGTGCTATAAGGGTTCTCCCATTTCAGGACAGTGTTGTTTCCATACGTGACGTCACATAGACCCCGATGGATTGCTTCGGGATTCTTTCGGGATTCTTTCGATCTTGCTCTTGTTGATATAAGTAAAACACCATCTAAGTTTGAAAATAGACCAAAAGAAAAGGTAAGTTGCAAATTAAAACGTTTTTTTAAAACTAAATCCGCCTCCTAGGTAGTTCTTTTGTTGTCTTGTGCAATCTGCTTTGTATTTTCATCCATCAGTTTGCCGGTCAATTTGTTGATATTCACTGACTTTATTTATCGCGTGACGTTTCGACGACCCACCATGTGGCAAAATCCACCCACTCTAAATTACATACAAACATTTGTCCTTGAACTTGATAATAGTACTTGTGACCAACTTTTAGTTGTGGCTGCCCACTACCATTGATACCCAAGAAAAAAGCATTATCCTTGCATGCATCCTCCACAGACATCCCTTGTTTTGAGTAAGGACATTTAATTTAAAGACCCCCAGTTTTCATGCCCTTTGCAAGTGGATCAATAACCTTCCTATCTAGGCTAACTCCTAGGCCAGATTCTTCTTTTGATAGAATTGTTCCAACTTCATGTACCTCGAGAGCATGATTCCCATCTGCTCTTTTCATTGTAARGTATGTCTGAACAGCATCATCTTCATGTTCTCTGCCAAATCTAAGAGATGGGGCTGAGAGATTACTATCTTGATACATTATAGAGAAAAGAGCATCTGGCTCCTTTTTCCTGACAGCTGCAGAGTAGAAATTAGATGCTGTAAGTTTCACTTTTCTTAGGTCTCTCCACGCCTGATTGGAATGTTGCCCTCTTGTGATACGCTCTACTCTTTCAATTTCAGTGTCATCAATTTTTTCTGTGTATAAATCCATCATAGATTTAAATCTAGGTATTGATTTGTCATAACTATCATTGAATGGCATACTACCAGAGTCCAAAGGTTCCTCCCTAATATCAGGTGCATTTTGGGGTATGTCTGCACATATACTGTCTATTTCCACCCCATTAGTACTGTTAGTTATCAGTTGGCTCTTCACATTGTGAAATAAAAAGTAGCTGCTACTATGAAGGCTGTTGCTTAGGGCCGTAGAAAGCTCAGCCACTTTTTCAGGATTGACACACCTATCTGCTGGTGCCCTGGGATCATAATTAGTTGACTTGGGAACTGTGGCAGATAATTTTCCAAACTTATACTTTGTTATTRCAATGTTGTCAACTGGTTTGGGTTCCACCTTCATGTTTCTAGGAGTATTCCAAGAGCAAAGTTTTGATGTACAAGAAATGGGCTCAGAATGCTCCTTCAATCCTTGGTGGCAGAAGTCCTCTATTGCAAATAATAAGCCTCCGGTATGATTACAATGACCCAGGCCACCAACCCCTTTCCTGGTAATCAGGAAAATAATATGTATATAAATAATAATAGTTTTATCTTGCTATAAGTATATCTTAACGGGTTGAAATAATGTATTAGTATAATAAAAGTGGAGAATAAATTTATCTTAAAAATAGAAATGCTATCCCCCGGAAGAAAAAAAAATTCAGCTAAAACTGGAAGAAAGGAGAGGACTACATTTCTCACTTGGGTAAAAACTAAAAATAGTACAATTGAAGAAAATAACTCACCCTGCCGGGCATTGACATGCGGCTTGTGAAACTTCGCCGCTTTYGCTGTCAAGCACAATCATGACACCATATTTTTCCTGCTTCATGGAAGCCAAAACTTCCCCTTTAACGTAAGTAAGTTTGTCTCGTACTCCCACTTCCAGTTTTTTTATATTTCCTTCCTTGAAAAACTGAAAAGCCTTAAGCTTTTTGTAGCCAGCTTGGCGAATGGAGGCGTGATCATACTTAGCTGTTTTTATAACCAAGTAGTCGTAAAGTTTGAGGAAGTCGAACGGAGGTAACTTGCGCAAATCATTCGTCCAAGCAGAACCAGCGGCGCGTGCTGCAAGGCTTCCGTAAGTCACCTCTCTGTTGTCTACTCGGCTCGAAGATGCTGTTGTAACGAGAGGAACGTTTGCTGAAACTGGAGTAGCAGTGGGAGWGGATGATTTTGCTCTTTCTTGCAGCACATGGCATCGAATGACCAGGTCTGCTTTTTYCCCAGAAGTTAGCTGGCCATGATCTTTGAGAATCTTTTTCAGTTCATCCACTTTTAGCTTTCTCAGATCATCGAGAGATGCAGAATCGATTTCTGAAAAAGTTTTCGGAGATTCCATAGAAATCGAGTGATTATGGGGAATTATTATTGTTTAAAATCTCGTATGCCGACGGTATATTACAGCTGATGATTCTCTTTGTAAACAAATGTTACAGTGGGAGCCTCGCATTCAAAAGCGCGCCCGCTGTACGAAATATAGCGGTTATGCAGAGGCGCGGGAGAATTCGAAACTGGACTATTTCGTCTTTTATTTAATTAGGTAATATTTTTCGGTAGACAGAGATGTAATTGTTAATTCATATTACGAGATTTCATAAAATGATGATTTTGCTTTAAGAATTTGTCAGTTTAATGATTTGTTGTTCTCTCAAACCACGTATCAGTTAAGAGTAAGATTAGAGGTGAAATCAATGTTTCCTTCATTTTGAATGGGCGTTGAATGCGCTATAACTTCTTTATAAATGATAAATTTACAGCTATTAAAGACCCATTGCCACTTACCGTGATGCATCACAATTTGTTTACATTTTGAATCGTGTCACCACTGAAAAAACAATTCTAACCTTTTGAATAAACTCTTAGATAGTCCCCCAAAGCCGTAAAAGAATGTAAAAGAATCATTTTTGTGCCTTAGTGCTATGTCGGAAAGGATTAAATATGAGGTTATTATTCAATATATGAATCTTTGAATTTCATGGACCACGAAATTCATCTGTGACCGCGGTGCATCACGGTAAGTGACAATGGGCCTTTAATGTTCTATAAATACAAAATAAAAATTCAGTTGTATAATGTATCTTAGAGAGATGTTAAAATTTTTCTTTTTTCTTTGTTTGTTTGTTTTTTGTTTTCAATTTTAAAGGTAATTTCGAGGATCAAGTTTGTTTGACGAGTGAACCTGCATAGCACTCAGTTGGTGCAATGCTCTAAAATCTGTTGTATTCTATTGTCGTTATAACTATTGGAAAATATAAGAGAGCTGAAACGTGACGTCAATGGAATGGAAATAACACTGTTCCAGCGATTTGCCTAGAGATGGCTAACCCCGCCTCCCTCCTGCATTAGAGTATTAATCTACTTTTTCCGTTTTACATTTTGGTGAGATATATTTTAGTTTCTTAATTAATTAACCTAGATTTCGTGCTAGAAAGACACACCAAAAGAGGAGGGCATCCACAGGAAGCTTGTCTCAAAAAAAAGAGCTTTAGTTTGTTCTTTAGTTTGTTTTGATTATATATTACTTCCGCTCCGGAAACGATTTCTTTGTGACTGAATTAAGGGATGCAAGTAGCTTCAACAGCAAGCATCTCTCTATAACCTCTCTATAGGGGTCTGGAGACGACGAAACACAAACATTTCGTTTTTTGTACTCAGTCGTCTCGCGGTCCGTTTGCAAAAGGAAGCCCGCAAGAGAGTAAATATAAGGGATAAAACATGTCACGACATTCAATTTTACAATGAAATTCTTCTGCGGCAAATGTCGACGTTAATCATAAGACATAAGTTTTATTTCTCGACGAAAAGGACAAGTGCTATGATAAGAGCTGCAAAAACATCAAAACCAACGAAACACTTAGAGAGATTAGGCGCAATTTTGTTTGAATTTGAAAAGTAATAGTTGAAGGGAATGCTGAAGAAAACTCTATAAAGCACAGCCACGACGTTAAACAAACACGCACCGCCCGAAGCAGCTAAAATATGAAGCCAACCAATCACAGCAAAGCACATAAATGAAAATGACAGGATACCCTTTGAGTGCTCGTCAAAGGCTTCAAGATCCAAGCCATTCTTTACGAAGTCCTGTCTTATTAAAAATACTGTTCCTAAGGAAAATTGTGCATATCCGAGCAGTTTAACAATAGTAGAACTTTTGTGAAATGTAGTTATGTTTTGCGGCGAACAAAGCTGTAAAACTTTTTTGAATGCCCAAGGAAGTGAGGCGAGGATTCCGGCATTTCTTTCTCCGACCCAAAGGACGTAGGAGATCGTTGCTAAAATAGTATCCATGGCCATGACGCTTGCAACCAGCCCTAACGGTCCGCTATGGTTGAAGTATATAGCAAGGCAAGATAGGTTTACAAAGAATATGCGTCCAAAAACCATCCCGATAATAATACGATTGACCGGAACACGAAGGAGACTGGAGCGAACGGAAGTGACGTAAAAGACTCCAATTCCTACTACGTAGTTTCCTGCGAGTCGGCCATAGCTAGTGGTTTGGGGGTTTATTTTGATTAACAATAGATGGTAAACATAGTCGGGAACGAGTATAAAGAGTATGCCAAGAACAATGTACAGGATTCCTGTGTAATGTGTGAAAGATTCCAGAACCGTTAGAGGCCTGGACACGGCCTGTAATGTTACGCCCAGCAAAGAGTTTCTCGCCTCTGTCGTCTCTTGATGGAATTCCTGCGACAGAGATAAAAAGGTTAAAACTCATAATAACCAAATAAACTTTACAGTTGCGTATCCAGTTCGCTACGATGTGAAGACCTCCGAAGTATTTAGTCTTGTTTCGCCGGTTACATGACCTCAAAACATACTATATTTTTCGTCTTTCTGGCGAATGAATAGCAAAAATCTACTTAAAATGTCTATTAAAAGTATATTTCTTGCAAGAAAAATGTGCATTTTTCAAGAATGTTGTTTTGAGGTCATGAAGTCGGCAAAACAAGACTAAACACTTTGTAGGTCTTCACATCGTAGCTTAAAAAATATCATATTTTTTCTCTTCTTGGCCGGCTAGTTAATAGCACAAATCTACTTTAGATATCTACTAAGAATATATTTCTTGCAAGAAAAGGGGATTTTTATCGTTATTTAGTGCGCTAACTTACCTTCTATCACCAAAAAAACTACCCGAAACCGCGCCATCTTTCTTACATTCTCGCATAGCTAAAAAATCCTGTAGAATGCCAGTCACAATGGCCGATTTGATCACGTGACCTCTTAGTGCAAGTCGCCTATTACTCTCCCTCTAACGCTGTTATTACTCTTACGTTTTACGTTTTACGTGTGAATATTTTGACGTTGAAATGAGAGTATTCCCTAGTAAATTATTGTGCTATCAAGGAACGCAGTATTTTACAACTTTAAAAAAATGACTTTTTTTAAACAATTTTAAATCTTTGGGCTTCCTGTGTTGATTGTTATCCAAACACATTGGTTCAATAGGTATGTGTAGTAGCTAGTTACTGCCACAAAAAATTTCACTTTTCCTTTAATTATCCAAGAGGCAAAGGAAACTAAATCGCTGTCATAGAATGATAAAATTTTAGGATGTTATAGAATTTTGAAGCACAATTAACGATATTTTGTCAGCGTACTTTGATCTATTTAGTCTTGTTTACCTTGACATTTTCGTCGCTTTTTCCACCGTTTACGTCTAAATCAGAATGATGTCGCTTCAGTCGCCGATTCCTAGCCGCCTCGCCGGTCCTCAAAACTTGCTCTGTCATAATTTAATATAAATTTCGTGCGAAAAGGCCTGAATTGTAGGTATTATATGCACTTCACTGTACAGGTCGTGCTTCAACGAACATTTGCTTTTGAATATTTTGTAAGGATAAACACAATAGGACCACATGTTATTATGGAAGGCACAGGTAACCCGCGTTGTACATCCATTGGAAAACGACAAGGAGCTTTGTACATAGAAAAGTAAAGTAAAGAAACATATTTAAAAAAATAAAAAATAAACAAAATCATTTAAGAAAAAATAAGGAAAACAAAAAACAAAAAAACATCACATCTTAAAAGGCACATCCTATTTCTTGGAACTGAGCCACAACCGCGTTCGGTCTCCCTGTGTACTTTACATTTCTAAGCTCGAATCGACCTAAAGTCGTCTATGAAAGCTCTTAATATATACCCAAATGTTTGAGATGTTGGCTTTATTGGAACGTCCATGGTAGTTTGCCAGACAGTACAAAAGGTAAAGACCTTAGATCCAAACCGAGTAAGAACCGACYAAAGTTGGAAGGAAGTTGACCTCGGACATCTGCTTCAGAGCTATCCATGTTTTTTTATTGTTTCCGCTTCGAAAAATGCATTCTTCTTCAAGATGGGTAAGTGTTTCTGTTTTGAAAATTCATTTTTGAGCCCTACTATTGATAACCAAAACGAAAGAGTCGGTATATGTGAAATATTGAACCTGAAAAACGCTAGATATGTATACTTTATTTCGCTTTCATTTTCCAACATCTGCTGTCTTGTCGATTTTGTACTCAATAAGTAAAAATCCCAGCTGTCTCACCAAGAAACCCCTTCGTATTTCAGTAGTGCTTTTAAGCAGTGTGAAGAAATTAGAATGAAAAAGCCAACAATCATTGACTGGGACCAAGGAAGACAGTAGAGACTTTTAGATTCGACCACGATCGAGAACGAGTACGAGTAAGAGTTAAAATTGATCTGCCCACGTCTCTGTAACAGCGTGCCACTCGATCTGGGCTCRAAAAATAGACTTCTTTTATATTCCTATCATCGAAAATACTATCTATCCTCACTACAAAATTGCAGTTAGAATGAAAGCCAAAGCGGAAGTCGCTATGTTGGAATGTGAAGAATTAATTGAAAAGGATCGTCGTATTAGACGTAAGCGAGGTGTTAGCTTCGATAGTATTAAATGGGCACAAACCGGATTCGTTTTGTTAAAGTCATTTAGTGAAAGGAAGGTCTTTGATAAATAATGCTGCAAAGAGCAGTGTTTTCAAAGTAGTGATGCCGAAAGACGTGTTTCAAAAGTAATCCGTGTTTCTGCAAGTAATACATGGTGGTGAAAGATATGAATTCAAAAATAATTTACACAACAACAGTTTCAAAAGTCAGTTGTCTTCTAGGTTGCATGTTTTCAAAGGTAATTTGAGTGAAACAAACATGTTTTTGTAAGTAATAAGCGGTAAAAAGATATGAATTCAAAAGTAATTGGCACAAGCTACACATATCTAATTTTGAACCCGAAAACGCGCCATATATAGGAAATATATCATTGATATCTTTGTCACTAGTCATTTAACATTCTCAACGTTTATTTCCTTTATAAATTATCCATCATTTTCTATAGTGAAAAGGTATTTCGTCCTYCCGATATTTTCGAACTCCATATACTATCATTTTKTCGAAAAATACTTTGCAGTCTTSACTGTTCTTCGGCTGAGAYGRCGATTTTTGCAACAGGTGCAAACAAACGTATGAATTCATTCAYAACTACAAAACAAGTGATTGTGAAAATTATGATCATMCAGGGGCGGCGGTTCGGAAGTGGGGGTTGCGGGTACTGRCTCCTCCAATAATTTTTAAGACATAGAGCTACTCTGTAGATATGCTTCAAATAAACCATTATTATTATTATCATTATTATCATTATTCAATCAATCAATCAATGTATTGCTCATTTCTCTTAGAGAAACATTCAGCTCTCACTCTACTCGAGTAAGTTCAACTACCCTTTGAAGCCAAGCTATTAAAAATCAGTGATAGATTGTGGCAATTCTACTTTCTCGTAAAGTCCTGAATTTAGAATCTAAAAATCACGATAAATTCAGCTTTTACAAATTTTGCTCTTTCTTTACAACGTCAACAATCCTACACTTTTCATAGACTTTAAGAATAAATTCAAATGATTAGAAAAGGTACCTTTTTATTCAATAAAAAGGGTAGGAACTTTAGTGTTTTATCTAATTAATGGATGTGATGAAATTTCCTATCTTTTCTCAAGTTTCGCCCTTTAAAGGAAATTCGAAAAGCAGATCAAAAGGTACCTTTTTTGCCGTTTTGCGAGCTGAAAAACGCAGGTACCAAAAGGCATTTTTTTCTAACGCACTAGTCACTTACTACATAATTATTGATTCCAATAATTGAAAAAGCAAAGCCAAATGACGCCATCACATGTTTATTTCTAACCAATATTACCATTGGCTAACAGTTTCATGCCAATTCCAATTATGATTTCCCCCTGAAAAGTCGCGTGACTACTGCTAATTATAAACTTAATAAGGCCGATCGTTTGGTGTTAGACAGGAAACTACGAGTATAAGCTGAAATTAAACATGGAGGTTTTAGAAGCCAACCTTGAACAATTAAAATATATTCTTATGCAAACTACTCATACCAACGAATAAGCCAATCCTATAAACAATCCTTTCCAGAGGTCACTAGAGGGTTTTCAGCAAGAAGCATAGCTGTACTTATGAATTCGAAGGGAAAATAAACATGTGATGGCATCATTTGGCATTGATTTTTTCAATTTAAATTAATTAATAATACTGCAGTGACTAGTTCGATAGAAAAAGGTACCTTTTGGTACTTGCATTTTTCAGCTCGCAAAACGGCAAAAAAGGTACCTTTTTATCTGCGCGCTTTTCGGCTTCAAAGGGTGAAACTTGAAAAAAGGTGGGAATTTCATCACATCCATTCATAGATAAAACACTAAATTTTCTACCTTTAGAATTAACGAAAAAAAGTACCTTTTCTAATCATTTGAATTTATTCTTAAAATCTATGAAAAGGGTAGGATTATTGACGTAGTAAGAAAGAAAATAAATTGTAAAAGCTGATTTTATTGTGATTTTTAGATTCTAAATTCAGGATTTTACGAGAAAGTAGAATTGCCACAATCTATCACTGATTTTTCAACTTTCTCGAGCCCTGAAATAGCCTCTGGGCTGATCAAAGTCATTGCATGACTATCTCACAGATTGACCTGAAACAACCCCTGGGCTGATCTCAGTCAGGCCATGGCTAACTCGCAGATCGAACCCTGAAACAACCTATGCCATCGGTTGATCAAAGTCAGGGGACGGCTAACTCGATCGCGAGCTCGATCAACATGGAATTTTAGCATTTGATACGGATTGACACTATTCATCTAATARTAATAATAACGTTAACATTCTTTCATGCATTACAGAATGAGCTAGACAGTACCTGGTATGGCAGAAAACAGTACTTCTATAGACGAGCAATTTAACAAGATTTTTAAACTTACTTGCTCCCGAATTCAAAATGGTTCTCTCAAGAAAACCGCTCTGATTGATGCAGTCCACTATGATAAGGATRGCGGACTGTTAGCTCTTGCAATAATTCGTGCAGGCGTCGATGTCAACATAACTGACGATTCAAACAAAACGGCCTTGTTTTACGCTGCTTATAACAAATCAATAGATAACGGATTACTGGTTGCACAAAAATTGATCGCCTCTGGTGCTGATGTTAATATCATCGATTCTGCAGGACAGACTGCATTATTTTTTGCTGTTATTAACAGAAACGTAAAGGTTGTTCGTGCGTTGATTGATGCTGGCGCCGATGTCAACACACTCAATAAAGCGGGTGAGACAGCCTTGTTCTATGCTGGCAGAGATGAAACTGGAGAAATTTGCAAAGCATTGACTGGGGCCGGTGCTAATGTTAATATTACTGATAACAACGGACACACTGCTCTGTTTCCTGGTATCAAGGATAAGAACGAAAATATGGTCCGCGCTTTAGTTAAAGCTGGCCTTGATGTAAACACACCTTTGAGGTATGCCATTGGAAATACTACTTATAATAAAAACGTGATTTCGGCTTTGGCTGAAACTGCCGACCTCACATTAACTGATAACAAAGGTAAAACGGCTTTGTTTTATGCAGTTAGCAAGAGTAATAGAAGTGCAGTTGAAGCCCTGATTGTCGCAGGTGCAGATGTCAACAAAACGGACGTTGAGGGTAAAACTGCTTTATTTCATGCTATTTGTGATTCATATATTGAGACTGTCAATATGTTAATTGAAGCGGGATCCAACGTAAATATGTTTGACAGCAGAGGAAAAACGCCTTTGTTTTATGCAGTCGAGAAAGATTATGACTTGTCGACTGCATCATTATCGAAGGCCGGAGCTGCCGTGAATGCAAGAGACAGTTATGGAAGAACGCCATTGTTTTTTGCCATAGAAAAATCGCGATCGCTTTCGCTAGCTAGTTACCTTCTTGACCAAGGAGCAGATTTGTTTGTAAAAGACGATTTCAATGAAGATGTGTTTTCACTTTTCGTCGAAAAAAGATGTCTTGACCATTCTTTTAATTATTATAAATTTTCAATATCATCTCACATGTCTGAAGCTCTAAATCTTTTTAAGGAGAATGGAGTACAAATCGATACAATTCACCAAGCGACACTGAATGTAATGTTTTCCAAAATCCTGAATAGTGTTTACCAGTTTATCCAAGATAATGAAGATAAATATATACAGCGTTTTCGTGAAGTCTTAGAAACATTAATGGCGTTTATCACCGAAGAAGGTAGTAGGAACATTCTAGAAGAAATTCTTCTAATGTTAAGAGAATTTCACATTTCCTTGTTACCAAAGATTCTTACCTTGCTAGTCAAATTAGGTGCTGATCCAAATAGTGCCGATTCAGAAGGCAACACTGCTCTGCACTATGCAACTCGACTACCATTTTATGGTGTGTCTAAAGAAACTGTTATGCACTTATGTCAACAGTTGCAAAGTTTTGGGATAAGGAACAGAAAAAACCGGTCAAACGAGATACCGCTTTTATTTTGCTTTTGTGGGCAATTCCCGACGCTCAAAGGCGTTGCAGAGAAAGAGCCAAGAGTTAAAGTACTGGAAGAGGTCGTCAAGTTTTTGTTGACAAGTGGTTCAAGCATGCAAGAAATTACGCATAGTGAAAAGTCAAGCTTTCATTTGATTTTTGATATCTTCCAGCATTCCACTTCTACGTATTCAGGGCAAGGATATAACCATTTTGAAAGGCGATTTACAACAAAGGAACTAATGAAAGTAATGGTCCGAGTACTTAATTTAATACCATGTAACGATGCACATGTTATGGTTCATAAGARGGACTCAAACCTCGACGGAGTTCTTCATCTTTGGGCAACACTGCGGCTAAGCTCACCTCAAGAATACGCTAAAACAGATGATGATGGAGATTTGACATTCGAGGAGATAATGAAAATGATTCTTCAGTATTTTTTACAATGTGGGGCAAAAGTGAATGACAGGAATGCAAAAGAGGAAACGCCTTTACATCTTGGTGTCACCTGGGGTGCAGTCAAGCTCCTGCTTGAAGCTGGGGCAAGGCCAGATGACTTAGATGCATTGGGCTGCTCCCCACTACTTCATGCTGCAAAGACCAAATTATTTCTTATGAAAGCTGATTACTTTTATCCAGATGTGTCAGAAAAACCAAAAGATTTCTGGAAAGCAGCTCTGAACAATGGCTTTGATCTATGGACGGCCGATAACAAAGGCGAATCTGTTTTGAAAATCCTTATAAAATCAAAACAGTTCACTTTGGCTAATGCTTTGGTCGAATTTGCACTGGAAGACGGTTACCTACAGTCAGACACAATTGCATCTTCCTTGTTGACGACTATTTGTAAAGATACTTCCACAAGTGCGCACTGGAAAAGCATCCTTGTGGAAACAATCCTTAAAGCAAGAAACCCCATTCCTTTAATGAATAAAGCCCAGGGCAGAGATTTACCACTTCATATTTGTTGTACGAATATTGTCCAGGGCAATAAATCGAGGAAACATAAGAAATTGAAATTTCTGAGAAAGGCTCTGGTCAAAAAGGTTAAACCAAGCGTAGAAACAGAAGTAAACGAAGAAACTGTCCACTGGAAACTACTCAAACTACTTCTTTCATATGGCGCAGATTGCTCTATTCCTGACGAAACTGGTCGGACCTGTTTGGACATTGCAAAAGATTGTCCTCCACTTAAAGATATTTTGATGAAACCCATCGATATCAACGAGATTATTCCTTGTATTCCATGGACGTCTGCTTCTGAGAGATACGAACATAAATTAGCCAGAGTTGCAAGAAGACAGGAGAGCGAGCATGTCGATTCTTTCTGGTACCACAAAGAACCTTTGGCAAGTGGCTCATTTGGTCTTGTTTTTGCAGGAATCAACGAGAAGGATGGGAGAGAAGTGGCCATAAAACGCGTTGAAACACTTCGTATGGGTCGTAGGGAAGACCTTAGAGAAATTTCCAATCTCAAATCTCTTGCTGACTGTGAGCAAGTGATCCGCTACCTTTGTTATTTCGAAGACGATGCCAATCATTTTTCTTACGTGGTTTTAGAGCTCATGGAGGGAAGTCTTGAGGAATTTCTTGACACGATCCCCTTGGAAATCGAGAATAGTGTTAAATATTGCAAAGATGTTGTAATTGGGCTACGCTTTCTACATAATCTAGAGATACTTCATCGCGACCTCAAACCATCCAACATCCTTTATAAGACTCAACCTGAACTGCGCTTGAAAATCGCTGACTTTGGCCTTAGCCGTCGAGTTGACAGTTCCGCTACCACAGTGTATGGTACTAATGCTGGCACAAGATGTTGGATTGCTCCAGAAGTGATGAAATCTTTGCAAGACCATTCTAAGGCATCCGACATCTTTGCTTGCGGACTCGTTCTACATTACATTTTATCAATGAAAAGTCATCCATTTGGCCCATCAGATGTTACCAAGAAAAGTTTATTTCAAATAAACAACGAAACGGAGGCCAACATAATTGATAACAGCATGAAAGGATGGGATGGCTCTCTTAATTCTGAAGCTACACATCTAGTCAAAAAGATGCTCGTTAGTGATGGAACAAGACGACCATCTGCAGCTGAAACATTGTGTCATCCTTTCTTCTGGTCAAAAAAGAAAAAGACCGACCTTCTTACTGCTGTTGGCAACCAACCAGAATTTGAATGCCCACGTGCCAAAAGGCCTTCTCACCTTTGGACTAACGTGGAGACCGATTTACAAGCAAGCTTTGGTACCATAGTCAAACATGGTGAATGGAATCATCCAGGTTATTTACATATGCCTGACATTGACAAAGAAATGAGGAAGCACCCAAGAAGCTATGATACTCACTCCACTGTTGAACTAGTACGTTACATAAGAAATGCTTACACGCACGTGTCTGCACAAGGACGCCCATCCCCTATGAAAAAATGGTTACTGACAAACTTTGTTTTCCTGGAATATTTTCCAAATCTTGTAATGGAAGTCTACAAGGCTGTAATCACTCATGGATGGGATCAGAAARGAGAAGAGATCAAGTACGCTATGGAAAAGAATTAAAAGGTAAGATGGATGTGAGCACATCGTATGAGGTATTGTTCTCATTCAAATTTGCCAACCACTTATGAACATAATATATATAGCAATATAACTAATAAAGAACGCCATATAGGCAGGCAGGCAAGCAGGCAGGTTAAAATGATCAAATTAGATTCTATCTCATCTTTTTTTAGTTTCTTCAAAGCAATGTAAACCTAAAGCTTGGTTCATTCTTTTTCAGATGTAAGAATTGGTTCGTGAGAATTATGTATTCAAGGTGCCTCGTCATTACAAAAACAACTGATCATTTGTACCATCCATTACAAGTAATATATACAGTATGAGTGGCCGTGTTGTATCAGATATACAACCA